AGAAGAAGAAAAAACAACAATGCACATGTCTGCCACAAATCCTTATTTTGAGAAAATCTCCAACATGCACGCCATGGTAGTATTTTAAAAATGTATGACTGTTTGATTTAAGCAGAAAGGCATAAACCATGTGCGTATAATCAGCCATCTCTCAGCCCATGCAGTGTGGAGACATCCTCGAAGCCACCAACGCCTTTTCGACCGTGCAGATGCAAAAGAGAGAGGGTGTAATTTTTTTTAGGCACTGCAGCCTTTACCATCACTGTCTGAGGGCTAGTTATCCCCTGAAAATGACAGTAACCTATGGCAGGTTGAAAACAAAGCCCGTCGTGCCATTACTGCACACTCACACTCTGCACACGCAGCGATCGCCGGTTGCGATTGATCCACGTTGACGCGAATGAATGAAAGAGAGGTTGAGAAAACACAGTCATCGCTGCGTGTGTGGATGCGCGGCGTGGACGTGTACTCGTGTAGCGTAATTCACCCACCTTTTATCCAGACAGCATATCCACTCCGCGGACGGAGACGAGTTAGGGGACGTCTGCACCGCGACCATCTTCCCGGTCGTGTGTCGGTTGCACGCCGCGATGCTGACGGAGGAAGCTTCCCCGGTTGTCGGTGGTCGCTAATGAACGTGCGCTCCTGCTGCGCCCCCTCCCCGCCCCTCTGCTTCGAGCTGCCTCACGCAACTACAGACTGCTGCTGCTGCTGCTGCCGCCTTCATCGTGGCATGGTCTTTATGGGGCTTTGGAGAGCAACTGTAGGGCTAAAAAAAAAAAAAAACACATTGTGCTCGGAGAAATAATAATTGTCTGTTGGAGCAATTAATAAAGGATACATTAACAGTTCAGTTGTAGGCCTAATAGTACAATATAGCCTGCTGGGACATATAAGGCTCAGAAATACAATTTAGACCTACTGTGTCATAATATATCTGTTAAGCAATATCAACAAACTCAAATATGTATTTGATCAAATATTTCAATACATGGAGATGAAACTACAGGTGCTTTCAAAGGACGTGTGCACCAGTGGTGTGCACATGGGTGGTGTGTGCAGGGCAGCACAAGTGCCCCTTGTCATCTGTGGTTGGCCTCGGTTGCTCTGGTGTGACTTTAGGGTGTGATGCTATAGAGAGAACATTGGAATGTAAACAATCAAAACGTTCATTTTCCAACAAGGGCCTTGTTTCACAAAAGTGATTTGCGAGCAGTGGTTGCATGCAGGTCGCTAACAGTGGCAGCGACTTGTTTTGAAAAATGATTGTCACTCGCAAATTGCAAATGAATCCTGCAGTCCCACAGGGTTCCTGCACGCTCGTGCCATATGATCATTCGATTTGACCAGTTAAAAATGTCAAAATTCACCGGCGAGGTAAATATCTCATGAAGTGAAATCGCAGATTGCGTGTTGCAAATTTGGGGAAAAGGGCCCCATGGTTTCCCAATCTCAGAGCAGTGTTATGCCGGGTTCTGACTGTGTCAGATGAGGCGATTATAGTCATAAATTCTTGCTGTGACTTGGCCGAGTGACATGACAGACGACAGGTTGGTCCCTGTCTTTCACAAGGCGTGTGACGTCATCAAAAGTGAGGCGCAAGGAACCGACTTCCAGGAACAAGAACGTAAACAAACAATGGAGGTGTGTGTGATGCCAGGTTGCAAAACTTAGCAAAAAATCAGAGCAGTAGCCTTCTTATATATAGTCTATGAGCAGTGCACACTACAGTGAAAGCAGGGTATTGCTTCTGCCACCTACTGTAAAAACCCACCAAGTGCAATGCAGCTTCGGGAAATCTCTGTTGCTCAATTTCAATAGGATGTGAGTCACCTCCCAAGACATTGATGGATAGCAGGGAGAATGAAAGGGGCATGCAACGGAAAAGGGAGGGATATGAATTTTGACATTTTTAACTTTATGCAAATAAAGGAGAACTGGGTCAGGAAGTAGCAAAGTGATCGACCGAAAACCTGACAGAAGAGGAAGAAGATGCAGAGGGCTTGCACTATCTTGACTAATGAAGATTTAAACACATGACCCAGAACTGTATGATAATCATTTTATATATATATTCTTGACAAACTATTACAATGATGACAGGATGTGGTGAGACACAAATCTTGTTAGCGAAGAGGTGGAGAGGAGCCAAATCAGAGAATTGTCAGTATTAAGTCGTCCATACAAGGCAACTAGCATACAGAAGCTGTATATGAACATTGTTTCCGTACACAGAGGCCTTTATGTGCCCAAATAAAGATCAGTGCAAGATGCAACTGCTGTGGCATTGAAGGATGCCTTGTGTGAAATGATGATGAACAGTAACAAAGCAGTGTTAGTTTCACTTGTTTTCTTTAAACCGGAGAGAGATGAGAGAGACTAGAGCAGCTGGTCACCAGGATGACCGCAGCCACCGCCGTAAAGGGAGCAAGGGAGCGAGAGGGGGAGGGAGGGCGGATGGGGGGGGGAGCTGCGAGGTTTTGATCATGAAGCATTGCCTAAAACCATAACTTATGTCCCATGCATGAACTATGTGAAAATGGGGGAGAGGGTAGTAATAAATTCCTCAATTGGAATTTAGGGATGTTCTCTGTGTTCATTATTGAAAAAGCATGGCAGGTCAGATGGAAAGGAGGACAAGGATTGTTTGTAGCATGATAGATGAGAAACAAGGGAGGCAGGAGAATTTACATGTTGCATCTCAAACTCCTCCAACTTAGACCCTCTTTATCTCCCTGCCTCCCTGCATGCGGACATTGTAGAAGCCATTACTGTACTGCATCAGGTGAATTACAATGTGTGAATGTGTGCACCAGTTGCAACTGTGTGTGTGTGTGTGTGTGTGTGTGTGTGTGTGTGTGTGCCTACACTTGCCTTACTGCATCTGTTTGAAATAGCACTTCAGCACGCATGACTGTAATACTGGAGGGTGATTGAGCAACTTTTCACCATATTGTTAAAATGAAGTGTGCGTGCATGTGTGTGTGTGTGTGTGTGTGTGTGTGTGTGTGTCAGCCCCAGCTGTCTCAGAATTGGCAACATTCTATTTTTAAGACGCTCCTTTTGAAACATTTGGAGAAAAGAAAGCTTGATGACTAAAGCATGAAAAAGAACATAAGTAAAGTCGTATCTATTGGCATTCAGAATGTGTTTTTGCAGAATATATACATACACTTGTCCAATCCATTGAAATTTCATTTGTTAAAGGTTTAACTTTGTTGCAAATTCATAATGTGTGTGTGCAGTACACACGTCTAGACACAAAGTGGCAGTACCATTGTTTATGGAGATGCACCAACACTTGAGCTATAAAAAGTGCTGTATAAGGGACACGCCAGACTGATTCACAGCAGCGTATAAACTAACTGTGCAGAGCTGCAGAACTGCTACATTGCGCTTTGCTCATTTAAACTGCTGACTTGTGTGTTCATCCCAGCCATGGGTCGAGTGAAGAGAGAGTGTGTGTGTGTGTGTATGTGTCTGCATTTAAATGTTCAGAGGATTGAGCGTAATTCCCTCGTAAAGCTGGGAAACTCTAAATATGGTTGACGGAACAGATAACCATATGGGGCATGACAGTCTGCCAAATGCAGCCTCCATGACGACACACACACACACACACAGCTAACATCATTGGCTGTCAGACAATATCTCAGTCTAAATAAAGCCTCTGTCCTTTCCAGCTAATTATACTCTTTAAATGAACAGTGTTAATGTAGTAGCAGTTCATCAAAAAAGGATTACAAATTATAATTAGAACTACAGCCACACAGATGCTTTTTAAAAAAAAAACATTTTAAAGTAAAAAGAAAAAGTATCACATATCCATAGACTGGTTGATATTGTTTTTAAACATAAATGGGAAACATAAACATTTTACAAGGTTCCCTGAAAATGAAAAGAATATGTACCGAGTGGGACACGTCGTCTCGCTTCGTGCAGTCATTAAAAGGTGTGGATTAGCAAAAGGTGAAAGGAGGTTCATTCCTGCGCGCGCCCCCACCATCCCGTCACCTGCTTAATCATCGTCATCCAGCTCAACACTGTGACTCTCCACAGCATTGTGAATCCTCTAATGTGTGTGTAAACTGTAGACCCAATTTTCAAAAAAGAACCTCTTTTGTGAGCTTGAAGAAGTCAAGGTGACCTGCTGCTGGTTAGAGAAAGTTGAGGATTATGTCAGCACACAAAGATTCCTGTATTTCTCTATGTACCCGCCATTAATTATGAATACCACTGTTGAGTTAAACAGAGGGGACTTGCTCTCCACTTGTACCTCTCACTTCATATGATTGCCACTCTCTTTCACATTTCCACTGATCCTACCAATCTAGGTTACACTTCTGCCTTCAGTCTCAATCTACTCTGCCTAACTCACCATCTTGCCTGTAACTCTAAATTGACTTTGCCACCCACCATAACACCACTCCCTCATTTATTTCATCTCTACTTCAATTCACTTTTCCTCCTTCCCCTCCCTCCTTTGGTTAGCCTCATTCAGAAGAAGGCTTTTGTGATTGGCCAGTATTTATATCATCTAGGTCCCAATGCCACCTGGGACAATGGTCTCCAGTCAGATCCAGGTCACACCAAGCAGAACCATTCTTTCGGCTCGGCGTGGATCAGTCCAGTCCAGTCCAGTTGAGTCCAGTCCAGTTCATCTGCCACAAAAGCCAGCTTCACAGACAGACATAGGTACTGCACCGACTCCCCCACTGGCATCATACACAGGTAGGTAGGAACACACACACACACACACACACACACACACACACACACATCAGCAGGTGCTGCATCACCGCTCTTGTTTGCCTCACACAGGTAGACAGTGTGAGATCTGGCTGACTGCACTGCCCTGCATCATGCAGACAGGTGAATATTCACACAAAGATTACCTCTGAAGCCCAGCACCACCTCTGTCAGAGGGATATCGGTGTACACAGCAGATGGCAACGCTGGCAGTGATGCTGAAAGACAGGTAAAGGTAAGTGCATGTAGCAGTAACCTGCATGTTGCATAGTAGTGTAAGATTCAACTGTAGTAGATTATACGTACAGTGTGTGATGCCAAAAATGTAAATGACTGGCTATATCATAGAGAGACACAGTTACAAAAATGGCAATAAAGCAGTATTTGTTGTGACAGAAGGCATCACTGGCATTACATTAGCCTTCACACTTATTGCATATGGTCATTTATCACAGGGGCAATATTTTGAACGGGCTGAAGCTGGGACCTAAATGTTAAGACTTCCTGCTGTAGGTAAATAAACGATAGACCACACAGGTAGGCTGACTTGTCCCAGTGCTGGTGCCCGCTCACCATCAGTGTTTTGCTGTTACTAGAGTAGTTTACACAGGATTACCGGAGGATAATCCATTTACAGTATTTAGAGACATGAGTTGCCATCTGTCTGTATTTATCGCAGCGAGGGAGCCGTCAGCACCGGCTGGCTGCAAACAAACACTTCTACGGTAAGATGAAGCTGTCGAGAACAGTGCAAGACAATGCTACGTAGCAGCCATTCGTGTACATTGGCTAATTATTAAGTTAAATTGGCCGTTTGTTGGCACTCGGGACGACCCGACGTTCGTCACGACCTTTAAACTGCGCGCGCACTGCAGCCAGGTTGGTGCGAGATTTGCTGCCTTTAAATGTCGTCGTAAACCCCTGTTGCTATCGTTGTGCATTTCGTGTTCATTTTAGGTAGCATCAAGGTTAATGGCTCAAAACATTGCCGTTTTATTTCATGGTTTGCTGTAGTAGCAGTGAAGAGAAGACAAAACACACCAGCTGTACATTTAAGGTTGAGTAACGGCAATTAATGTAGTTAATTGAGTAAACAAAACTGAAACGTACACATCCTCGCTTCGTTTCTTTATTTGATGCATAATGCCAAGACAGTAAGAGCAAAAAGGGGTCAATTAAAACGGCTGTTGTTAAATGCACCATATCCCCCTGAGATATTTAACAGGTGCCTGTGTAGCTACTGTATCCGTTCAATGTCCGACCGCCCTCGAAAGCAGCGATTGTCCCCAGCACTTCATTGCTGCTCCACAGTCCAAACAAGTTAATTGTAAGTAGGTGTGTGACAAGAAATCCTGATGGCTACGTTTGGCGTTTTTGACGGTGCTCACAATCCTTAATCTTCCAATTTCGTGAGTGTGAATGAAAATGTGAATGCTGATTTTAATTTTTGCATTGAGCTGCAAGTTATAAGTAAGCCACTTAAATTGTTTGTCTAGGCAGTCATTTGCATGAATGCTTTTTAGGGCCAGTTCACCTCAATGAATGTGTTGCACTTTACCTTTGCTCAAACCACTCTTCCAGGGTACTCTTGCTGAGGTGGTGATGGTGAATATCTAAAGATTCCCTGGTGACAATGAAGTTTCCAGACCAAGAGCCTGCCTTTGTTCCCTGCTGTCTTCAAACAAATGCAGTATAACCTCTTAAAACACACTTGAACGTCTTAAAACACATATTCCAGCATAGTCCTTGCCTTATTGCTACCTTTCCACTGTGCCAGCAAATCGTCAAACATTATCTACCTGCTCAACATTTAGCTTTTAACTGCTTTTAGTTGCTTTTAGCTATAAAAAGCTCCTCCAGAGTTTTTTTTCTCACTTCAGAGACCCTCCATTCCCAGATGATGCGGACAGACAGCAAAGGCCGAAGCGCCTCCCCTCACAGGATAACCTATAAGTCTGACTTCCATGCCATCAAATGTTCATTTGACACTGCGACCAGTCTACAACCAGGAACCAAAACTGCTTCTGCCCAGCACTCTGCTGTGCACCCAGCCAGGCTGCCATCCAGCCTGTCGGATCCCATAATGTCCCACACCAGCACCATTGCCAGCACAGGCAGCAGAGGGAGAGTCCACAGTACCAGGGGGACCAAGATCAGAGACAACATCTTCCTACAAATGGACAACCAGCAGCTGAAAAAAGATGTTGATCCAGTGCAGAGTTCTGGCTCCACAACCCTCCTTACTCCCCATAATCCCACTCTACAGCTCCAAACTTCACCTTTTTCTGCATCCAGACGCTCAGTCATCAATTCCTCGTCTGTTCTGAGCGCTGCGGCCAACATTGCAACTCCAGAATCTTCTCTGCAAGATAAATCATCCAGATCGGAGGAGATAGTGGATATTGACAGAGCTGCTCTGGCTCAGAAGTTCTCTGTAACGCGGAGGTTGTTTGAGACCAAGGGGGTGAAGGTTGGAGGTGGTGGAGGCCATGTTTCAAAAAGTATTGCTGGCAGGGGAAGCAAGGGGACGGCAGGTGGAGAAGGAGAAGGGGAAGAGATGGAAAAAGAGGAAGACGAGAGTGGGAAAAGGAATCGCACCGAAGAGGATAGCTTTAATAAAGACAAATCCATAAACCTACCCATCATAAATATTCCCTTGCCAAAGCCTACTGCACAGGCCTCGCTGACAAGTCACCATAAATCTCCCGTAGCGGATGGCCCTAGTGAATCATCCAACAGATCTCCCTCCTGTCTTGACAAACATGGTCGAACCACGGGATCACAAACGGAGGAAAAAAGGACGACAAGCCTCTTCTTGACCCCTGAGGAGCCAGTGAGGGCAGAACTAGTTGATGTGAAGAACGGGTCATCAGAAAGTGACGAGAATGAAGATGAAAAGGAGCGGAAAGAGGGCAAAATCTGTCTTAAGGATGGGGGGGTAAAGAACATGGACAAAGTTGCAGCAGAGACTGTGCAAGTTGATGATGTTTTGGAAAAGCCCAGCATGGAAACATCACCCTGTGTGTTGGAAAACAGAGTGGAACTGAAAGCGAGAGAAGGTGGGCCAGTTGTTCCCTCAGACGACCACCAGAAGGAGTTATCAACCAGCATGTCAAGGAAAAGAGAGACCAAGGATGACAGTGAAGGGGGAAGAGACAAGTATCAGCAGGTGAAGGAAGAATGGGAGGGTGAAAGGGAGGGGCAGACCAGACGGTTCTTGGCTGAGAAGTCGAGAGAAAACTGGGACACGGGGGAGAAAAAGGCTGTTGCAGGAGTGGGAGAAAGTTGTGGAACGGCCGAGAGAGGCATGATGCAAGAGGACAATGACAAGGAAGTTAAGACACACGGTCAAGAGACGAAAAGAACTGAGAAAGAAGAAGGTTCAACATCCGAGCTGCAAGAGGAGGTCAAGCGTGAGGAGGGCAGAGAAGGAAAAGATGATGTAGGAGGAGGCCAAGAGGACCAGACAGGACCGGCAGTAATCGGTGGGATTGAGAACAAGGCTTTTGTGTATGAGCAGGAATCCCACTCTCACCCAGAACATTTAGGACAGGAATGGGAAAACGCTGTACGTGATAATCGGCTTTTATTGCAATATGAGGAAATTCCTGGCGTGCCTGAACTGGAGGAGGAGGCTGTCGAGGATGTAGCAGAAGAGCAGCAGAGGAGAAGGGTCAGGTTCACCTCAGGACCAATCAAGGTAAGGGAAACCATTTATTTTTTTTTTTTTTTTGAAGAAAAAATGTACAAATTCAGGCGTTTTGAATTCATTATTTACTTAATTGACAGCTGCAGGGTGTCGCTTGCTTTTATGCAAGCTCTGTATAGTAGATTTGTGTTACTGTCAGTTCCGGCTGGAGTTGCAATCCATCCAAGAGAAGCGTTAGCCCCAAGCCATGTTTCTAATCCATTAGAGGGAAGGAAAGGCAAGATCCCTCATGCTTCGTTCTGTCAGCACTCCGCTCAGAGGTGCCTCGACATTAAAAAGCACAGAAAACATTCCTGTGGGTGTGTATGGCATTTATAGAGCATCGCAAACTATTGGAGTAGCTGTCTGTGTAGTGTCAGCGACTAGAAGTTGCATGTGCGTATTGATATTTTTTTTTTGATAATCATGGATGTACAGTTTGTGTCGTCTGCACTTCCTGGTTCTCTCGCACTCTGGCAGATTTGCCAAAATAAACTGTCTTGTTGTGTCAATAGCTGCAGATGGCCCTCTTTACAATCTGCTCAGTGGTGAACACATGTACAAGCTATCAATGCATAAAACAGTTTTTTCAGTAGGCCAAGATTTGACATGGGTGTTGACATAAGCCGAGGCTGTCGCAGTGACTTAAACCGTATATTGACTGCTGTCTTTTTAGGTGTACAGCACTTATTCTAATGCCGAGTACGACAGACGCAATGAAGACATTGACCCGGTGGCCGCCTCAGCTGAGTTTGAGCTGGAGAAGAGAGTGGACAGGATGGATGTCTTACCAGTGGACATAGAGAAGGGTGTGTAGTTCCTCTTTCACACGTCTGTCTTCCTTTTGTTTTTAGTGTCCATGTGTCCACATTAAGACCCAGAAGGAAGGTAAGGTAAATCATGTAAATGGTTTTATCTGGTGGTAAATTGGGTTAGCTTAACTATTCAATATCACAATATTCTCACCTTATTCAAAGAACCAGGTTTTTCCTTTTTATGGTGCAACAGTCTCTCCCTGACTAATGTTGTTATTATGAGGATAACTTCCTCCTATTTTTTTATATATATATATATATATATATATATATATATATATATATATAAACAAACTCTTTATTTATTTTTTTTCCCTTCTAGGAGATGAGGGCCTGGGCATCAGTATAATAGGAATGGGTGTAGGAGCTGACCAGGGACTGGAAAAACTTGGGATCTTTGTCAAGACGGTTACTGAAGGAGGAGCAACACAGAAGGATGGAAGGTACATTTCAACGCCGGTCTCTTGTTTGCTGGGAAGTGAGTTTGGCTCTAATAACAGGAGATTCTCTTTCTAGGATTCAGGTGAATGACCAGATAGTGGAGGTGGACGGGGTGAGTTTGGTCGGGGTCTCCCAGCTGTTTGCAGCCACAGTCCTCAAGAATACGTCAGGCCTTGTCAAGTAAGTTATCATGTTTCAGTACCGTTCCCCCTATTGGTATACATGGCTAGATTAGATTAGATTAGTGATTTGGAGGCTATGTATTGCAGTGTATTTTCTTTTTAGAGTTAAAAAAACAAAAACTGACAGTCAGACTTCTAAATGTTTGCTACATAATTGAAGTTATTTAAAGATGAAACGGTAGCAAGATAAATATAATTTTTCTCCACCTAGATGTTGTTTTTTAAAGAGCCACACTTTAAAAACGACATCCGGGATGTTTTATCGTATCAACTACACATGATATACACTTAACATTCCTGCCAACCATTCTTAAGCATATCACCGTGTTCAAACCGTCTGCCAGCCTTTCAGGTACTAACGAATAACTCTTAGTGGCATTTTCAAGAATGCTTTAACACCTGAGAGTACAGATCAGGATGCCAGCCAACAAAGAAGCTGATGACAGAAATGACCATGTTAACGTTTCCTCTTCAAAACATCCATCAACTTGTGAATGAGATGCTTCTCAGCCACCTCCAGTATTTTAATATCACCAACATTAGTATCTATATTTTTCATTGAGGTCTTAAAGCAAAAGTATAAATTATAATATGACTGCTTCAGTTTTAGGGGGGTGTTAATTAATATTATTTGCAACACCTGTGCTTTACCTGGATGTGGTGATTGCTCACAGCTGTGACTGATTTCTCTGTTTGGCTGCAGGTTTTTCATTGGGAGAGAGAAGGAGGGGGTGGAGAGCGAGGTGGCACGACTGATCAATGAAAGCCTGGAAATGGATAAAACACCCAGAGAGGTGTGTTTCCTAAAAGGAGAGCGGAGCGTCAGTCGTGTTTACAGGGTTTATGTGGGTTGATTGTACTGTTTTTCTGTGTGTTTTTCTATATGAAGAGTGGAAGCGGGGACGAGGATGATGATGGTAGCTTTTCAGAGAAGTCGGTCACCGAGGAAGAGGAGGAAGACGAAGAGGAAGATGTGTCTGTTATTTCCAGTCTGGACAATTACCAGCTCTGCCTCAAATACCAGCAGGTACGTAACAATCACCATGAGTTCATTGATTAACATTCATAAACCAGATGTATACACCAACCCTTCTGTTGGATATCGGGTCAATACTAAATTAAAATAGGACTTTGAATCAGAGAAAAAAAACTGAAAACACAAATACTGACACACAAGAGGTGTGTGAAACTAGTAACGTTGTATATCCTCTCATATAAATTGTAGTATAATCACATTTTCACCCTTTCTGTCTTTTATAGCTTCAGTCAAAACTACGGAGCAGAGCAGCCCAACTTCAACATGCTCGAGAAAAGGTAGGTCACTCATCTGAGATTGAGATCTCTCTCTCACACACAAACCAATTACTGGTCTCACTTTGCTACCTTCCCCCCCCCCCCACACACACACACATTTGGAACAGTCTGACCCATTTAAGTGTGTATGAGATGGCTCGGTGTGGAGTTACTAGGACACGGGCCGTGTTCCAACACTGCTTTTTCTGCCTTTGCCTTGAAGTAATCACCGCTGTGACATAATTGGGTTGGCAGACTTTAGCCATTTAGTAGAAAATCTGTCTTTCTTCTACCCAACTGTGGTAGCTCAGTGAGTTCTTAGTTTGTTATATCAAAACCTCTTTGAAGTAAGAAGATTTTATAAGAATAGTTTTTTTTTTTTTTTATTAAATTTTTTTCCTTCCCCTTGTGCATATAACTGCTATCACAGACATTCATAAAAACATACATAATCTCTTCTTTTTACTCTGTCTACCAAGTTAAAGGCATGGAAGGAGCAGCAAGTCGATTGGGAGAGCAAGAAGATTGAGCTGGAGCATGGAGTGGAGGATGGAGAGGACAAAGCTGAGAAACTAGAGAAGTATGACGTTACAGACTCTATGCTTGTGACCATTCTACTACAGCATATGTCATTCGAGGTGTGTTTGACACGATAGTGGATCATTTGTAAGTATATACAGATCCAGATTAAAGACTTGATGGGAGCCTAAAGCCTGCAAAAGTAATGTCATGTTAAGAAAGATGATGATAATGGTTAAACTGTTAAAGCCCCCTCACTCTATTTATCAGGTATTGGCAGGAGGCCCAGACACTGTGCAGGGTTGTGAGCCAGCGACTGGCTGATTCCCAGAGCCAATCGGAAAGCTTGGAGATCAAATACAGCAAAGCCAAGAGACTGGTCAGAGAATACCAGAGCAGGTATTCATCTAATCCATCCAATCCAGTTTATTTCTCTTGACAATATAGAATAATATTCTAAAAGGACTGGGATGTATTTTGTGTATTTTTTTTTATTTTTTTTTTCCAGAGACGAGGACCGAGAGAAGAGAGAAGCAGAGTTGATAAGAGAAATGGTGGAGAGAGATAAGCTGCACAGGGAGACAGTTGAAAGACTACAAATCCAGGTGAGAGGAGATTGCTCAGTCCTGTATGGATTCACTTTGCTGAGCCTGCCATTTCTTTGTAGTCATTGTTTCACACTGCTTATCACAGATAGCACAGCTAGAGAGAAAAGAGGCTTCACCTGAAAGACAGAACCACTCTGTGGACACTTCAGTCACAGGTAAGCAGCTGAATTACAGTCACTGTAATGTTTATGTGACTGTATGTCTCTTTGACTTTGTGTAGCTGCTGGCAAGTAAAACCACTATTTAATGTTTTGACCTCTAATTATGTGTATGGATTCAGAACGGGGACAATTCAAAGCTTTTTGTATCATTCAAACAATGTAATCAAAGAGAGAAAATGAAACCTCTTAGATAAAAACGTCTTTTTTGACAGAGCAAAAGGAATTGTGTTTTGTCTCAGGTCCAGACTGGTATATTCCACTTCCTGATACGGGACTTCTGGACTCCAGTGCTCACAAAGCCAGAGCTCAGCTGGCCCAGAAATCCAAGCGCCACCCGCCCTCTCGAGACAAACTCAGAGAGAGCTTTCGAAAAAAGGTAGGAGACAGAGGTCTAAAATGTGACGGATCGTCACTTTATTAGCCGATTTTTGACTGTGAAACCCACACACGCGTTATCTGTTGCTTTTAGGAATGTGACATTCAGAAGTCACAGGAGAGCCAATCGCTGTCTGCTCCCACAGTGACGCGCAGGAGCAGCAGGAGTGACGTGTCCAGTACCTCATCTTTCCCAGCCCTCAGCCCTCAACCTCCCAACAGCTCCGTCTTCACTCCTCCCACCTTCATCACTGACGTCACTCCCTCACCGTGCAAATCTTCCGCATCCAGAAAGTCCAAAAAGAAATTTCCAGACTTCAGGTGCAGGGTCTCTGTCTCTTTCTTTTGTCTTAGATCTCAGGGTGATATTTCAAAGCCATAGTCGTTTACATTCTCCCTTTCAGCCATTGCAGATTTCATGTTACTTGCCACAGTAGCTGGTTGAGAAGGGACACTGAGCAGTTTGCTGTTGGTATGCTTGTTCCTGGTGCTTTTTAATAACTATAGTCCGTTTCTTCTTTCAGTGGCCTTCGCAAGTCTCTTAGCAAAAGGAGAAGTGACAAACACTTCAAAAGGTCCATGAACAGGTTGGATAACGGGATAAATGGGTTTCTGTCTAGTACTGGATAAGTTTTATTGAATTACTGAAATTTCAGAAATTTGCTTAAAACACATGTCACATTTTTAATTGAAATGTAAATGTTGTTTTTTACCAGGGGTTCATTTGACCTGGTGGATGGGCCTGCTGAAGTTTCTCCATCAGCTTCAATAACCTCCATGCCTTCCTGCCTGCCCTTCCCCTGGTTTGGAGAGCGAGGGAGAGAAAAAGAAGTGGCCGGTGAGAGAGGCAGGGAGAGACTTCGGTCTGTGTCCAGCAGCAGCTTACCGTACCTGACCACCACCGGTAGAGACAAGGTAAGAAAAGATGGACCGCTTTCCCTGCATGCCGCCGTCCTCCTCTTCTGTGTGAGCCGTCTGATCTAAGTACGGCTGTAGATATCTCTCGTAAAGAAATCCATTTTTAAAATAGACACACATACAACAGATGTGAACGAGAATGTGCAGGCAGCCTAGGTCTTCTCTTGGTTCCAGAGTATTGGCTCTCCAGTGGGCTGCTCCAGCATGGTGGGTCATGTCTCTGATCTCTCCCTCTCTGGACACTCTCCTGCTTTCACCTTTTCCTCCACTGAGGTGAGTCTGTCCTTCCCTTCTACTTTCTTTTTTTTTTTTTTTTTTTTTTTTTTTTACTTCTTTCCCATGGAGCACTCATTGTCCAATCATTTTATCTCCCCTGTTCTCTCCTTTTTTTTAAAATTACTGTTTAGTCTCATATCTGTCCTTCACTTCTCCTTACTCTGTCTGCGTATTGTCTCTCGTGTTCTGTCAGACGTTGGACGATGACCCAGTTCCCACCAATAACAACAACCACCAGTGGCAAAATCGACCCATGTTGGAGTGGGACAACCAGCAGGTGTGTCTGTGGTTAATTGCCATGAACATGGACGAGTATGTGTCCGAGTTCGCTGTCAGAGGTGTGGATGGGACACAGCTGCTCAACATGGACGGTGAGAAACTCAAGGTGAGTGGTTAAGGTGAAGATGAGGGGAGTCAATGATTTATCAAATGTGGTCGGCACAGGTACACTGATCACATTAAATAACCCATTCTGGAATATTGCATTCTGATGTATGATGAGTATTTTTCTTACTCTCTTTTCTTTTCTGTTAAACATTTATGTACGTTCTGAATTGAAACTCTGAATGCTGATTATCTATTTTCTGTTAAATTCAGTAAACAAAGTTGAGCAATAACTACTGCGCAGTATAAATATTTAGTAGGTTTAAAAGAAATCTGATGCATAAGTATGTTAGATAAACATCACCTTGAAACTGGTTATTCAAAGAATTGTTACAAAGATGCATACTGAGCGGAACATTTCAGTTTAAAATGTGCTTGTTGGTGTTCCTCAATAACCTCAAATGTATCTTTAATATTTCTGTGCAGCATGGTTTGTACATGGTGATACTTTTCTGTGAGCTAATATACAGGAGGCCATGCTGATGTATCGGCAAGGTTCTACTGGTTAGAACTACCTTTTTAAGTGAAACTGCCTCTGTCCCCTTTATTGAGTTTACGAGAGTGACTAATGCAGATTAACATCTGTATTAGTCACTCTCGTTGCCAATTGTGAACCTATTTAACAATGAAATCTGGTTTAGTTTGAGGGTCATTAAGCTGAACCTGTAGAGTGTCTTCTGTTTACATTTGCATGCCCTGTTTCTCTTTCTTTTCTCTGCTGTCAGGCTCTGGGGGTGTGCAGTCAAAGCGACCGGTCTGCCCTCAAGAGGAAGCTGAAGGAGATAAAGAAAAGAGAGGAAAAAGGACAGAGGAAAGGAGAGAAGAAGCTGGAAAAGAAGACCACCGTTTTGGATGAGGGCGAAGACAAAGAGAGAGCTCGGACGATGATGATGGAGAAGTCTGTAAAAGATGCCAGAGGCGGCAGCAAAACTGTAAGAACTGAGTCATTCTTGTAAAAAAAAAAAAAAAAAAAAAAAAGTGATGTCAGAGATGCACCACCAGCATGAGGGCGTGTTTGCAGCCTAAGGCGCACAAAAATACACTTGAACCAATTTCTATTTAGTCAATAGAAACCGCTAGATGTACTGCACACCGCCGTCATTGTTCACATCTTAGTAGCTATTATTTAGGATACACAACACTGGTTGATTTTAATTGATGGAAAGATCTTTGGACCAGAGCGGAGATGGACTCCAGCCCCAAAGTTCACACTCGCAGCAAATATGTGTCTCTCAGTATGTGTCTGTTGTAAAGTGTGTTTACATACTGTCTTAAAATGATGTTTTTCTTTTTTATCATGAACCTTAAATGATTTTAATATTTAACGACGTGCTGCTTTAAGCACTCAGGTATTTGCTGTAAATGCTTTTTTATGTATTAATAAATAACTCTTTAAACATCTTCCTTTTGCCTTTAACTCATTCATTTGGCCTCCAATAATCACACATGTAAGACATGACTTTAAAATTTTTATTAAAGAAACTTTGTTCGCTCTTTATTTTTTACAGCCAGTAAGTGAAAGGTGAATTCGGCAGAGGCTTGGTAGTATATTTAAAAACCAGAATGCTCGATCACTGTGATAAGTTGCAGTTTCATCCATAAACTACAACTGATTGATCAACAGTTACGGCAGATGCACAGTAGAAATGCTAAAAAACAAAATACCTACTTTTACATGGCACATTTTAGTTAAAAATGGAAATAATAAAGATGGCCCTGTATGCAATTTGTTGACTCTTTGGCCTGTAGGGCAGATAACATGAATAAGTACAAAACAATTCTGCAAACCATTCAAAAAAAAAATGTACAAAAGCTCTAGAAATAATCCCCCCCCAAGTCAACACTGAATGTAGTAAACGTACAACACAAGCTCCAAAGCTGACAGACAGTAAATGTGCAGGACCATCTCCCACACTGCTACTCTCCTTCCAGTGATTCATAAAGACTTTATCCAAGATCAATTCAGCCCGTGAAGCACAATGTTTGATCAAGGATTTAATCCTACGTTTTGTTTTTTTACAAATTTTCTTTTTTATATATATATATATATATATATTTACAGTCCACACTGCAAAGAAAATCAGTGAAATTGGGAGTTCATCAGTGACTGACAGGAAATCTGTGTGGTGTCACATTCTCATTGGCTGTTAAGAATAATGTTCCTTGTTATGCCAGGTTGTCATCCAGGGCTTCTTTTCCAGGTTTTCCCAGTTCCCATGCCTGGGGTTTATTGCTCTCTCCTCCTGTTTGATGCGAACAGCGTTGTAACTGGGAACCTCGTCTTCATATTTGGCACGCTTAAAAAAGCCACACTATGGAGAAGACGAAAACAAAAATCAGTATTTAGTTTGGGGCAAATGCTATTTAAAAGAATTCAGAGAAAGCAAAAAGGTTGATGAGACATTCAATGTCATCGGTCTGTTCGACAGACGAGAGCCAAGAAGCAGTGAATCCATTGAGAGGTGTAGTCAAGCCGTCTGCACTCAAAGAAATTTAGAGAAAGAAACCTTCAGACCAAGTGACTGCATGTCCGATAGCAACAAAAGAAAGCAGAAATAGAGGAAGTGAGAAAATCAAAGAGCTGCAGAGAAGCCCCCATGGTGTAGTTCCTCATCACCTCCCCGTGGCCATGCAGGTAAGCCGTAACCATTCACACATAATCATGTGTGAAAAGCTATTCGGCATAAACTCTTTGCAGAAATAATCAGTCAACTGACATTCGTGTCACAGTGTGAGAATTGCCCACTGCCTGCCTAATACCAGGAAGCAACGCTTTTAGAGCAAAAAAGGAGCGAGAGAGAAAGTTTCACTCATTCATGGCAGGCCGGGTAATTTTACCCTCTCTCTTTTTTTATGCATTTGATGTCAGTTTTTCTTTTTCTGTCGGGTCCTCTTTATTCTTTTTCTCAAAGACTCCACACTGAGGAGAGGAAAATTGTTAGAAATTGAGTGTATTTGCTGTTATGGATACCTACAGTTGCTCTGTAGGTGGTACTTTACAGACTGCTAGGTCTTCATAAGTCATGAAATTGTTGGTGTGAGTTTTTATTAGCTGGGTCAGCTGGGCCCGCCCCGTGCCCCTCAGTCCTACCTTCCACAGAAGGAAAGCCAACAGGGCCAACAGCAGCAGCCCGAACAGGATGGACAGCACGATGATCCACCATGGCACTCCTCCGTGCATGGCTTCAACCCTCTCTGGGAACACCGTCAGTCTCGCCTGGGGAAAACAATACAGTGGCAGAACATCTGTATTAACATCTCTGTCTCAGAGTGTCGACTACACTTTCAAATCTCCTTTTTTATTCTCACTATATAGCTTGTGTACTATACACTATAGCACACAAGCTCATGTTTTTAATGTCCATGTGCTACACTGACATCAGCATTTAAGGCCTGTTGTATAAAACTGCCATGTCATGCAATAATCACGTCCCCTTCCTGCACCCAGAGCTGTCACATATTGCAAATCATTGTTTTTCTGTTGTGTTTAGTTACCTCTGTCTCGTGGTGTTTTATCACTGTGTTCTTTGATGTGCTGTTGATATGCAGAGCGGCCTTCACTTTTATCTCCACATGATGGAGCTTGGAAAAATCCTGTTTAAAAAAAACAAAACAAGAGAAGATCAAGTCAAATACACATTACTAATTTGCCGCAGTAACCTGTTTCCCTTGAATTAAAAAAAGAGTTAATAAGTAATAAGTTAATGCAATTAATATTACTAAAAAATAAAAAATAATGTTTGTGTAATTAGTTTTTAATTTAGTTTAGTAAGTCCCACAACCCAATTTTTGTTTCCCTTTAACATCGTACACCCGAGACTCAATACCTTAAAGCTTCTGACATAAAAACTGAGTAGAAAAACGTAATTGTCCTGCAGTCTCTTTTGTTACCTCTATGAAGGTGCTGCTCCAAAGGCGAGAGTTGAGAGTGATGACTGCAGTACTGTCCAGGCCCCGTAGGGGGCACGTTATCTTCACACATTTTGCCCCATCGTCACAGGACTGTCAACAAAGAAAGGAGCACAAAGTTACCAATCGTTTCCTCTACTACTGGTTGCAAATATACATTAAAAACTCATAATAGAAGTTTGTAAAGTGGGGTTACCAGAACTTTAGATTTCCTGTCACGTAAACGTGACAAAGTGCCCTCCTCACTTCCCTGGGTGTTTTCTGCTGCTCTTCTCTTCCTCTTGTAGTCTGGTTTCTTCAAGCAGAGAAGAATACGTATATTCGATTATTTGATTAAATTAAAGCGTCTTTATTTGATCAAATAAATATACATCTGTAACCACATACTACCTCTAATGCAATTTAAAAAGAGACACCAAGTGAAAAAGTATACGTGCAAGCTGGGTGACCAACACATCTTAATGTGATGTTTTGACTGACCATGTTAAGAGGGTTGGCCACCCCTTTGGGAGAGCACTCTATGTGGTCCACTCCACTGGAGGTGATATTGATCAGGTAGAGCAGCCACTTCCCCTTCGCTGTGTCTTTTGGCCATTGGATTTCAAGGCTGGCGGTGGCAAAGTCTTTCAAGGGCTTTCCCAGATTGATTATCTGAAAAATAAAGACAGGATCAGTGTCCCACCTCAGATGATGTAGTATTATTATCTTACCAAAGAACACGTTCATGCAGAATGCTGCAGTAATAAACATTTCAATGAGATAGAGGGATAAATGAGAACTAGCCACTTCTGATCTAGTGGACGTCCTGTACTCACTCTGAACTGGTGTGTGATGGCACTGCCAATGTCACTTTCTTTCTTCATGGCCGACTCACCTTTGGCCTTTCCTGCAAAGTAGACCTGAGACGGCTGGGCTTGTCTAGGGAGACAGTAAAAATCAGTGAGTGGCATGAATCTGTGCATACTGTGTGTTTTTGGATATCAGCTGCATGTGTGTGTGTGTGTGTTTCTTACCCTGATACAGACAGCTGCACCATGATGGCCACCTTTGCCTTTGCTTTAACAGGGACTATTTCCTGCTCGCTTGTCCTGTCGGATGAGAGGTTACACACAGGCCAAGTCAGAAACTCCTAATATAGGCCTACTATAAATGTTAATGCATAATTAAGGTGCATTACGGTCCAGGAATGTATTTCCTGTATCTATCGTCTTATTTATTCGTTTGAAGTATTCCTTGATACTATTGCAAGCTTAGATTTACTTACGTTTTTAGCTGAAGATCAATCTCCAGTTCAGTAGTATTTAGAGGAAAGCCTGATGTACCCAGAATAATGTGGAAGGTCGCCTATATGCACAAACACATACACATTAATACGTATTAACAGTGCACCTTCTGCAGAGGACATTGTCCAAAAGTTAGATTTTCTCTCACCTCTGAGCCACTTCTGAAGGGGTTTCCGAGCTCACACTTTGGCTGAGAACCATTTTTATTGGCTGCACAGGTTATCTGCAACTCCTGAAATCAATAACAAGTTCCAATCAGAACCACATTGGAATGTGTGCTCATGTGCGTGTGTGAAGGAGAGAGAGAGAGTGATTGAGAAAAAAAGACTCACATTTGCAGCGTGGAAAGTAGAGTAGGTAAGGAATGGTGGGAAGGAGGTGGTCACCGAGGCTTCGTATGCATCATCTCCTTTTAGATTGGACACTTTGATCTCCAAGGCAATCTCCTTCTGGTTACTGAGCGTGATCACCGGCACGTTGTCCACCCTTTAGACACACACACAAGTTATGAGCTCGTATGCGACGGAAGAAATAAACACGATGCTCTTGAGAAAAATAGCTGTGCGTGTGTCCTCTTACATTGCTAATGGAGTGAATGTGTCTTTGTCAGTTGCCATGTAGCCGTAGCGATATTTCACCTGCAAGTTGCTCTGACAAACATTGTCGGTGCCACACCCGTCCTTCAGGAAATTCACCTACAATCGCATTCACACACACAAAAAAAAAGATTACGTAGATACAGCAGGAACATCAACTCGACTACGTGGCTATATAATCTATCTTTCATGCACAAGCACCTCTGATCGATCTGGCAATAGCTCCTTGGGGTCCATGACAGGTAGCATTTGAGAAGATGAGCTCTGTCTGCGTTTACGTTTCCCATCCTGGATGTTCACTGACACTTCGACGGCGATCCCATTCAGCTTGTCTTGAATATTTTCCTGTAGAATGACACATTACTCACCACCCACAATGCACTTTGATGAAGAGAGGAGAAAGAACATTTCCAGAGAGAGCTACTACCTGTATGTTAAGCTGACGCTTAATGCACTTTTTCATTCCTTTGGTGTCCATGATGATGGTCCCTTTGTACTGGTGGGCATTATCAGAGGAGTCAGCGAAGGTCGCCCTGGGTTTAAGACCTTTCTCCACGTGGTCAGCGTCTGCCTCGAGGGAGTACTCCAGGGCTAGATGGGACAGAGACAAGATGAGGGTAAAGAATGACAGTGTATCATTAAAATGACTACGTATGGTTTCTCCCTGTTTGATCTCTGATGGTGAGAAGCAAAAAACACTATAAAGATGACATGTTGCTTTAATTTAAATAGATGGCTCAGCTTACTCAGACTGGGAGCGTTGTCCTTGGAGTTGGCAGTGTAGGTGAAGCATGCCTCAACCTTCAAGCTGGGGACACAGTGCAGTGTATTTACAATCAGACACAGTATTGGCATAGTGTTAAATAGTTTATCCTCATAAGTTAATCGAAGCACCTACAGAAAAAAGATAAACAAACCAGGTATGGCTGCCACAGTTCTTGTTGGTGAGGTCGATTTCCTTTGGCGAGAAGCTGATTTCCTTCATGATGGTAATAACTGGGCGGGATCTGCGGAGAACAGAACTCAAGTCAGCAAACGCTGACTATAACCACAATGAGAGATGTACAGTGAGAACAATGTGCCTGTTCATTCACCTGAAGACAAAGACAGAGTCAGAGAGCGATCCCACAGCCAAGTCAGGGTAGGCGTTCATATCCAGGTCCATGTTTCCTGCCAAAGAGTAGCCAAACATTCTCACTCCTAAAGGCTTGCCGGACAAAAGCTGAAGCAAAAGAAAGACACATTTTGAATCCAGCCACTTACTGTAGAGTATGTATTCATCAAAATTCGTGCCGAGCTTCCGATCAAAAAACAACTGTCATAACTTTAGTGTAAGCGACAACCTAGCAAAAGTAGCAGTATGCTGGACACTAGTCACACATTTTACCGAAATTCATTTTATTTAGAAGCTTTTATGATGTGACTAAAGCATTAAACATTTGGACAAAATGTATATAGAATGTCTGTTGTGGAAAATGCAAAAAGAAAGTTAAATTAGCTAGTGTACCAGTTTATTTCATACCTGAGATTCCTTTTTAAAGCTGAGATCCTTGGCTGCTCCGTGGTAGATGTATACAGCCCCTGCCTCATCATTCGCATAAGGAGCTCCTACTGCAAAATCTGACCGCAAGAACGACACCGATGACTTACAGTGTGGTTATACAGGAACATATATTTCATTCAACCGGGGATTCAAGAAAGACCAACCGACAGTAGTATACCTATGCACACACAAACACATTGCTGCCTTACCATGGCAACCGTCCTGATTGATGTCCCCCAGGTTTTCCACAGCCAGGCCAAACATGGAGTACTGAGGTCCTTCTATTTTGATGGGGGTGACTTCCTTCCACTTTCCGGCTTTGTTGACATAGACGTAGACGGCTCCTCCTATTGTCTTGTCTTTCTCAAAGTACTGAGGTGCTCCCACCACTATGTCCAGCCAACTAACAAACAAGGGCATTGTTTGTTAGAGAGCATGCAGAAATAGTGATCGCTCTTTCCAAAACAGAAGTTACCGGTTGTGTGCATCGCCCTGCGCAACTCACCCGTCCTTATTAAGATCCAGCACGGTCAGATCGTAGCCGAAAGACGAGGCCAGCCCTTCCCCTTTCAGGGTGTGCTCGTCTACCAAGCCGTTGCCTGTGTCTTTCTTCATCAGCACCACAGCTCCACTGTAGTACGCTCTAGGAGCCCCTGCCACCACTGTGAGCTGGTTCCTCTTGATCAGACCCTTCCCCGAGTCCAGAGAGAAGCCTGAGACACAGAGACAAAGGAATACTTGCTTACATAGTCAGAGGTAGTCAGGTACTTGAATAAGCTTCTTCGTGATGATGGAGCAAATGAAGCAATGGGGTTAGATTGGCAATGAATGGATTAAGAGAGCGAGTGGCATTTTACCAAGGTAGCTGTTGTCAGGGACATTGTACCGACTAGGGTCCTTTTCCTTCTCATCTCCAGCCTCAAAAGGGCCATCGTCATAGATGCCGAGGTCTAGCAAGGAATCGTTCTTTTGTTCCAAGCGTACCACACCTGGAAGAAAATGAGAGGAGAGGAGAAGACAGGTTGAGACTGGAGAGATCTGGCTTGTAATACTGGGATGCAAAACCCATTACACAATCATCTTAATTAGCAGTAATGTTGAACACATGATAGAAAAAAATCATCACAAGCAAATTCCTTTGTAATAAAAAGCAAACATCATAAATCATATGGAATAGATTGATAATGAAGGACATGTGCAGTTAAGCTTTCTTACAGTAAATCTTTCATAGCTTACTTACTAACTGCAAGCTGCTAGCTAGGACACACACACACACACACACACACACACACACACACACACACACACA